TGGCCTGGGGCCCACAAGTAGGTAAATCCAGCCCTGCCCGGGTGGGCTAATCCCCGTAAAAAAAATTACATATAATTAATATAAATACCAGCTTCACATCCCATTTAGACACCTATAGTTTTAAAACATGTAAATTAATTCCCAATGTTTATGCTGGAATTTATAAAAATGGATACAAAATCCAATAGTAACAAGACGCCTCACCTGCTGCGGCCACCCTTGACCACTTCTCCTCGCCGAGTGACACGAGTTGTGCCACGGTCACTGGGCGGGACTCCCGCCGCGGAAGTTTCAAAGGCGGAAAATGTATCATATACAAATATGTACGTATCTCAAGAAATGTTGATCAGTTAGATATTAAAAATCAATTTAATAAAATATTTTGATAACTTGGAAACAAGTTTACTTATTAAATATAAAGAAGTCAATGAAATGAATATGATAAAAAAGGGAACCATGATATCAGTCGCCAACGTAATCGTTAATATATACTAATAACAATATATTTAGCTAATTTCATTGAACGCTGTGTCTCATTATCATTTAACTTAGATTTTTAAAATTAATTGTCAAACTAAAATGGCCAAATTCTCTCATGTCAAGTTATGAGAAATTGGCGCCAAATTCATGAATACATGAATTTACTGCACTAAATATAGAGTATGAAATATGGTTATTACTGTACTGAATGTGTAACAATCATTAATCATTTTAATACTTGTATATAATTTCCAATGCCGTATTATCGTACAATACAGTTATTTGAAGCACACTTGCGAAATCAGCAAATATGTGAAAGTGGATGGAAAATAATTTATAAATATGTAAAATCTATAGAAAATGTACAATGTAGATGAGAAAAAACATTACATCTCAATATTTCACACTGTCTGGCAGTACTGTATATTAAGTGCATGGGAATGACAGAGGTGGTGGAAGTTACCATGGCGTGGGGTGAGGTCAGGTAAGCCGACCCAACCTTCGTGTTACTAAGGTGTCGCCAGGTCAGGGAAAGGTTGGCCGCACCATGCAGTACCTGGAGGGGGGGGGGGGATTCCGGGCTACCAGGAAACCCCCCTGGGTGCGCCCCTGTAAGACATGCTGCATTAAATGAGTTGGAATATGAAAAGGACCTAGGTGTGTACGTTGACAATGAACTGAAGTTCTCAGGCCATTGCGAGAAGAAAGTAAATCAGGCAACTAAGTCATTAGGTCTCATAAGAAGGTCGTTCAGATATCTAGATGGTCCGTCCCTTGAAATGATCTTTAAGAGTCAAGTGCTTCCCCGCCTGGAGTACTGTCAACTGATTGAAAATGTCCAAAGGAGGGCCACCAGACAGGTGCCTGCACTGCGGCACCTCAGCTACCCGGAGAGATTGGAGCGTCTGAACTTGCCTAGCTTATACTACAGACGGGCAAAGGGAGATCTGATTGAGGTGTATAAGCGTCTCAGAGGGCACTGCTCAGTCGAGTGTCCTTACCTGGAGCTGGCGGATGTTCGCCCCTCAAGGGGACACAGCTCAACGTTAAAGAAGCCACAAACCCGGATAACTGTGAGGGGTAACTTTTTCGGAGTGAGAGTTGTGAACTCTTGGAACAATCTGCCAGAGAGAGTGGTGACGGCACCGAGTGTGAGCTCTTTCAAGACCAGACTTGACGGCACCGAGTGTGAATGACATTCTCTGGCAGATTGTTCCAAGAGTTCACAACACTCACTCCGAAAAAGTTACTTCTCACAGTTTTCTGGGCTTGCGGCTTCTTCAACTTTGAGCTGTGACCCCTTGTGGGGTGAGCGTCTGCCAGCTCGAGGTAAGGGCACTTAAGAACATAAGAATGGAGGAAACTGCAGCGGGCCTATTGGCCCATACTGGGCAGTCCCGTTTACACCCAACCCCTATTGCTCATATAAGCATCCAACCTATGTTTGAAGCTATTCAGCGTATTCGAGTTAATGATGATATTTGGTAACTTGTTCCATTCATCCACTACTCTGTTTCCAAACCAGTGTTCACCTATTTCACGCCTAAATCTAAATTTGTCTATCCTGGTTGGATAGTTTGAGTACCTTTGTTTAGCCCTGCCTTCCACTTATACACCTCTATCAGGTCGCCCCTCGCTCTACGTCTCTCGAGGGAGTGCAAATTAAGATGCTTTAACCTGTCTCTGTACTCAAGGTTCCTAATGCCCGGGATTAGTCTAGTCATTCTCCTCTGAATTCTTTCCAAGGATTCTATATCCATTCTGTAATACGGTGACCAGAACTGAACTGCGTAATCCAGGTGTGGTCTCACAAGAGCAAGATACAGTTTTAGGATGACCTCGCTAGTCTTGAGTAGTGTCCTTTGAGATGCTTATATACCTCAATTAGGTCTCCCCTTGTCCATCTGTAGTACTGTCCTATAAGCTAGGCAATTTCAGCTCTAATCTTTCAGGGTAGCTGAGGTGCCATAGTGCAGGCACCAATCTGGTGGTTCTCCTTTGGACATTTTCAATCAGCTGACAGGCTCTAGCATATCTCGGGGGCCAGACGGGGTGACAGGACTCCAGGCAGGGAAGCACCTCACTCTTGAAGATCATTACGAGGGACGGACCATTTAGATATCTGAACGACCTTCTTATAAGACCTAATAACTTAGTTGCCTGATTTACTTTCTTCTCGTAATGGCCCGAGAACTTCAGCTCATTGTCAACATGCACACCTAGGTCCTTTTCAAATTGTCTCAAATAATGCAGTTTCTTCGTCACGTTGGGACATATGATATGTCTCCTTACAGTTGGTACGTCCCAGGTGCATCCGCTTAAACTTCGTGACATTGAATCTTAGCAGCCATTTCTTCGACCATTCTTGAAGCTAACAGAGATACTTCTGCAGCTCTTCACAGTCTGCTTGGTTCTTAATTTCCCGAAATAACTTGGCGTCATCGGCAAATATTTGCATGGAGGAATGTACAGCGTCAGGCACATCATGTTTTTAGCAAACAAACAACAGTGGGCCTAATACACTGCCCTGTGGTGCCTCGCTTGTGACGGGTACACACGATGATTTCGTGTCACCGCACACTGCTTGCGGTCATGTAGAAAGTCTCCAATTCACGCTAGAACATTTCCCCGAATCCCATACCCTTCCAGTTTAATCTTCAGCCTTTCGTGGGGTACACTGTCAAAAGCCTTGGCAAAATCAAGGTATATATTCTCGATATTAGCACCGTTCCAGAATTTGGGTCTAAATATCCAGTCCAGTACCTTGAGTAATTATGTTAAGCAGGAGTGCCCCGGTCTAAACTGTGTTGACAATCCTTTACAAGGTTGTTTCGTACTAGATGTTCCTTCATGGCATCTCTTATAATGCTCTCAAGTACTTTTCATACTATGCTGGTCAGGTTCACCGGTCTATAGTTATTTGTGGAGTGACGATCGCCCTTCTTGAAAATAGGAGTCAGATTAGCCATTTTCCAATCACTGGAGACCTTTTGTTCGTCCAAGCATTTACAGAACATGATCTTCAGGGGCTCAGCAAGCTCGTTGCACAACTCTCTTAGCACTCTGGGATGCACAATGTCAGGGCCGGGACTCTTATGAACCTTTAGCTTTGAGAGTTTATTTCTTATAACCTCTTTTGTGAACACAATGTGGGTCGTCCAAGTACGTCTTCCTCTGTATCAATTATTTTTTTTCTGCTTAATTTGGTGTATCAGTTCATGAGGATGTTCAGATAAAAAATAAAATAAAAAACTTATCTCTTCTTGCAATTCATTATACCGAACATATTATCCTTAAGATAGCCACTGCACTTCACATGTGTAAAACATTCTGGAATTGAGTGGTCTTGCCTTTTACCTTTCTCTCTATCTTTTACTGTTATCCTCTTCACCACTGATCGACTCATTAGCTGCTTGGGCGATCAGTCACATCTCTGATTGCTTTCCCCTTTTTTTATCTTCACCAAAAGATCGGCACGCTAGCCGCCCGGGCGAGCGGTCACGTCTCTGTCACGCACTGTTGGCAAATACTGGGCATGCACCGGCTCTTAATGTACCTGAACCCGCTTCAGTGTTGGTTAAGTCTTGTCTTGAAGAGCTCACACTTGGTGCCGTCACAACACTCTCTGGTAGATTGTTCCAAGAGTTTACAACTCTCACTCCGAAAAAGTTTGCCCTCACAGTTTTCTGGACTTGCGGCTTCTTCAATCTTGAGCTGTGACCCCTCTCTCTCTCTTAACTATCTTCCTCTCCCTCTCTTATAACATGCCCGTGATGGTTTCATCAACATATACCGTTACTTCTTGTCAGAGATTGTATACACATGCTGTTTATGTACATGTTGAATCAATGTAAACTTGAATGACTATTTTTTTATTGAAAATATATTTACCTATTATCTTTCTTTTTTTTATCAACTTATCTATCTACCTGTGTTGATACTCGATAGATACAATTTCTGTGATATGGTGTTGTTGCACGTGTTATTATAAGAGCTAAGTAGTGTGCATTGTCAAGATTTAGTCAAGCTGTATTAATACAGCACAGAATGGACATGTTGCTACTCCTGACAACTGAGGAACATTTCACTGTAAGGTCCTAAACGATTTATTTTTTTGCTTATTTAGGCAGCCTCTAATGCCACAAGTACAGCTGTGTAATGACCCAGTGATGATCCCCAGCATACAAACTTTGGTCTAATTCCTGGAGTGTATCTGTTAAGTAGCCTATGAAGAAAGAAAAAGATGTATAGTACAGGATTATAAATACTGTATCTTGCACTGTTGTCTTTTCGTAGATAAGACCGGAGATGAACATCCTGTGCATTAAATGGAGAGTCAGTCGTCTTTACAGGTTATTTTTATACCCAGGCAGCGATGAAACAAAATTTGAAATCAGTTGGAATGAAGAAGGATGGGGTTTACCATGAGTCCTCAGGTTACAACCAATTACAGGGTACATTTAAAATGCACAAATTCTCAGGAGGAATTTTAAGCCCTTATTGTTGTTCTATGTTCACAGGTATTGTACCTTGAGAATGAAGAAATTCACTGTAAGGCTAACAGAGTCCACATCACAGCGCCTGGGCATTAAAGAACCAACAGTCTGGTTGAAACTGGAGGGGATGTCTGTGATGTTGATTGGGGACAAGAGGTCTGTGGTGTGGGTGTGGACAATGGCAAACATCCGCAACTACGGCTACAACTCTCAATGCTTCCGGCTAGAGGCTGGCAGGAAAAGTCCATCTGGCGAGGGGCATTTTACCTTCTGCACTAAAAAGGTAAGTCATTTAATTCTTAAGTAAGCAGGTGTGTCTCTCTAAGTACATTTTGTGATATCTAAACATATTATATTCCACAAAGAAACAACTTCCTCCCCCACATCATATTATTTATCACTCAAGGAACATTTTCATTTACAGTGCTGAATCAAACCAAATATAAAGGTCACAATGATTTAGCTGTACAGTCACTTGCACACTTATACCTGGTACAGTGGCTGGCATTTTTGTGAGATGTGGCAACTCTGAGTTGTTTACAACATTAAAACTTCTGAAATGACTCTAAGGAGCCTTGCAATAGTAGTATATATATATATATATATATATATATATATATATATATATATATATATATATATATATATATATATATATATATATATATATATATATATATATATATATACACACACACAGTTAACCCTCACTTTACGCGGTCCCACATTCCACGTTTACGCGGTGCCCTGCCGGAACCCAGGATGCTCACATTCCGCGGTGCGTGTACCCCCTTTACGCGGAGAGTGGCTGGCGAGCCGCGCCATTTTTGGATCCAAACCTCCCGCCATCCGCCATGTTGTGTAAGCGGCGCGAACATGGTGCGCACAAGGTCGCCCAGTCATCAAAACATTACCAGTTCTTCACCCGCCACAGCCGGCCCAAGTCAGTGATAGTGATAATTATGGTGAGGATATGGACTTATATGGACTTTGGGGAGTTTGACAAAGAGGCCCTGTAAGCCTCTGTGATGGATAGTGATACAATTGATACAAGTGACACAGGTGAGGGCCAATAATCTGCCCTCTGCCTTGGAACCAACCGCCCATCCCCGTGTGCCCAGCCATTTTTTCCACTAATGTAAGTGTTAAAAAACCTAATATTATTGATATTTCTCTTAATTATTAATTGTGTGTGCATACCATCATAAAGTTAAGATAATATTTTTACTACAACATAGTTGTGTGTCGTCAAAAAGTGGAGTTTGGGGATCGGCCCGGACTCCATTTCAATTAATCCCATATGTTATGTTATTCACTTTACGCGTATCTCACTTTACGCGGGACCCTCCGGGTTACATTAACCGCGTAAAGTGAGGGTTAACTGTATATATATATATATACTGTATATATATATATATATATATATATGCAATGTAGGTAATCAAACACATGTAGACAATGTAGGTATACAAATAATATACATAAACAGTACAAGTATACAAACACCATACATATGCAGTACTGTATAGAATCAAACAACATATTGAATATAGACTGTGTAAGCTTACAAACAATATACATTTGCAGTGTAAGTATACAATCAATATAAATTTGCAGTGTAGGTATACAAACAATACTGTACACATAGAAAGTGCAGGAATAAAAATAATATACATAGACACTGTATCAATCTGAAACAATAACTTCTTAAATTATATTCAGCCAAACACACTTAATGTGCCACAGTTATAAGAGATGTTACCTGGTAGGGCGCCAATATCTATGATGCCATGGTGGCGATGAGGAACAAGGCACTTGATCTGGGCTCCACACCAATCCAGCAACCCAAAATTGTCCACCAGGTATCAATTATGTCCACCGATGTCCAGCAGCAAGACAATGACACACAGGTATCAATTATGTCCACCGATGTCCAGCAGCAAGACAATAACACACAGGTAACAATTATGTCCACTTGTGCCAGCCAGTTTTATGAATGGAAATTCTGATTCACTGTGTGAGAGAACTTCTGACAAGCCTGAGAGATATACTGTAGCTTTTTGACCAGTTTTAATTTTTATTTTTGTTGTTCTAATTTACCAGAAAGATGAAACATATCCATGATGGTTAACATTATTGAATTTTTCTAAAGCTTTGTCTTCAAATTATTTAATACAAGTCTGTTCCAAGCGGGTAAAGTGATGGGGTTTTTGTTGTAATTTATTTGCATTCTCATTTCAGAAATCAAGAAAGAACACCAACTCTTTATCTCTCCCCACTTGGAAAAAAACAAAATCGGAACTTTGGCGTTATTTTGGATACTAGAAAGATCTTGAAAATGATGCTATGAATTAAATAAGGATACAGTTCATTAAGTGTATGGACAGTACAGGTATACATTTCAGCATGTATAAAAACAATACAGGTACTGTATACAGTTCAGCACTGATATAGACAATGCAGATAAACAGTTCAGCATACTGTACAGAATACAGTATTATATATGCTGAACAACTGAACTGTATACTGTAATGTACATGCAGTGTATATACATGCTACACATGCTGAACCATTTACCTGGATTGTCTATACATGCTGAACTGCATATTGCACTGTCTATATACTGTACAGTATATGCTGAACTGTATACTTGTATTGTCTATATACACAATGAACTGTACGTATACCTGTACTGTGTATTATGCTAAAACTGTATACCGGTATTGTCTATATGCTGAATTGTATATCTGCATTGTCTATAATTATGCTGAATTGTATACAGGTCCCCAATTTACGAATGCCTGCCAATACGAACGGGGTTAGACTTGAAATTTACAGTACAGTACAGTATTTTATTTACCTAATGATTTATTTTTTACTTTCATTTACTGCATTTTGTCATTCTATTTCTTCTTTTGTCTTAAATTAAGTGATTTTAGATGTATATAAGGACTTAGGCTATGATATAATGTAGTAGGATTTTAAACATTGTTTTAGTCAGTTAAAGATGACTGATTTGTCTGTGCTCACTTTATTTGAAAAGGAAGGTTGTTGATTGTCAGATAAATAAACATATTATTCATTGTTATTTAAGGTCATGAGAAGTTCCAAATGTTCTTATATTTGTTTAAATAATGAAAATTTTATGTGAGAATCTTGTGGCAGCCCTGATTGTAGTTGTGTAGCCAATTCATCAATATAATTTTCTTCTTTATTTAAGCAAATACTGTACGTACCGGTATACGAAAATTTGGAAACTTCTCATGACCTGAAATAACAATGAATAGTTTATTATTATAAAAATTCTACCTTTGGTTTGTTTAATAATTATCCTGACAGTGATACAGCCGAAAACAGATCCACCAATCACCTTTACATACAGCCTTCCTTTACCAAGTATTGCCAGGTAAAATTGCGAGCACGAGACCCAGGGTGAGGTCGGTGCATCTTTGGCTGACTGTACATAACATGTGCTCCGACTTACAAATGTTCTCAGGAACGGAACCCGTACCTGCATTGTCTATATTATGGTGAACTGTATACCTGCAGAGTATTCAGATATTCATGTTTTGTGTAGTTAAAGAGTGCAAACTTGATACATAATTAAAGCGTTGAGGATTACAGTACTTTTTGTGCTGTGGAAAATCTGGCCAACCCAACCTGAGATACAGTACTGTACTCGTACACCCCATGGAGTGATATGTGTTAGTAGTCAGTTCTGAGTTTGTGCCACTCTAACCAAGGAAGCACCACTGGGAGATTAAGTTCATGTTTCCTTTGTTATGAAAAAACTGCTTGTCCATATGAATTATGTTCATTGTAGCAGTACTGTACTTCACTAATTGTAAAAGTCCCACGCTAACAAGATTTTCTCAATTATTTTTTCTCTTTACTGCACAATGATTTCCTTGATTTAGTGTTTTTGTTTTTATCCCAGATTCCAGATGGAGTTCATACTATGGCCAACCCTCAACAATAAATGGTGATGTTACAGTGAGCCAGGTACTATGTTTGCTGGAGAAGAACAATTCATATTAAGAGAAACTGTATTTTCCATTGAGGATGTGTTGATCTTAACATTAATAATGAAGATTTGATATTTAGACAACTTGACCAAGGGTAACCGACAAAGCCATCGGATTCTTATATCCAGTGTGGTCATTTTAGTTTATATGACAAGAGCACTCTGATGTTCCCAGGTGATCACCCATCCCAGCACTAACCAGAACCAACGTTGCTTAACT